TATGGATTTGGTTATATCTTTCTCAATTCTTAACTGTTTTTGATGAAACAAAAACCCAATAAAAGGCAATAAATGTGGTTACAAGGCTATGTAACGCACGTGACCGTTTAACCAGTTGCAACCGATTAAAACCGGTCTTTGAACGGTTTTAAAAGATTTTCGAAATGAGGCAACCGGCAACTGGACCAACCCCAAATTGGGGCAACTGCAACCGAAAAAAAGACCGGACCATGGTCCGGTTCAGTTCAGTCCACCGGCTTTTTGCGGTCCTATGGACTGAACCTTTAAACACTAGTCTCCACCCAACACCAAGTCAAACTCTTGATGTTCGCCTGAGACAAGCAGAGACATAACACATGTAGGCCAGCTATTGCCAATCTTCACGGAGACTGCAAGATCGGCACACTCCCCAGAGAAAGACAAGCCCAAACAGTTCGAGCAAGCAACGGACACATAGGATTGTGGACCACAGGAAAGCTCAGCAGAAACGGGAGAGCCATTGAGCTTGAAACAAAAGGACATGGTGGAGGAACACGAGAAAGAGGAAGGCTCAAACCCAAACCAAGTCACTCAGAAGGGGCCAAACATGGCTAAACTTACCCATGCAAGAGCTTTGCTGGCCCGTAGGATAAGACCCGCTAACTACGTAGCAGGCATGTCACTTGCCATGCTGCCATATTGCCAACCTTTCTTCACCATTCCCCTCCCTGCCTCCTGTGTACTGTTATCTGGTCAGGCAATGTATTGAGGGGTACCTATTTCTTTCTTTTTCTTCTTTTGTCTCAATTTTGTGTACATTTGAAAGTTTTATGGACATTGATACTAGATATCTTGTTTTTTCATCCCCACCTTAATATTTTTTGGTCTTAATATAGTGAAATTGTAAGCAGTCCCTAGGATGCACAAAGAACCACCTAAGCCAAAAGGCAGAATAACTGAGAAGTTATATTCTCAGCCAGTGCATCCTATATATGATACAGTATGGGAACTGTAGTAATCATGGGCATGTGTACAGAAATGTGTATATGTAGAGATCAAAATATACTTGATAGAATTTGATAATTAATTGGGTTATTCCACTTGTATGAAAGTACCACTTACCATGTTCTATTGCAGACTCTGAACTCACAATAACACATCACTTTGCAGCCAATTTCATACATAGTATAGTACTCTTCTTACACTCAACTGCTTCCTGCCTCCTAGGTGAGGCATTCTCAAGTTGGCTTCATAAACGATGGAGGGATCACCAGAAGCTTAAACCCTCCCTGGACATATCACATAATTTAATACATGGAACTTCAATCACCATCTTTTTAGCAGTATGTCTCTCTTAGACCATGATATGATCATAGTTGTCAAGATGTTACCTGTAGTCCAATGAGTTATAAATGTAATTTAGGAGGAAAAAATCTCTTTTTTGCAACATATTCATTAGCCAATTATGAGCACAAGCACATACCAAATTATATTCACAGTTAAAGGTATTATATTATTATTAACCTACATCATATACATATGCCTTTGTGGTTCAGGTGGTTAAGCACTTGATTGTGGGAACTATAGCTCTCTGAGGTGTGTGGTTTGAATACCAACAGTGATGCTATTTTTTGTATTTTATCTTATTAGTATTACTTAGTCCTTAACTTGGATTACATTGGAGCATGGTGCATTCTGATGATCTTTTTTTTTTTCAATGCTAGGTGGGTTGGTTTCTGTACAGTAAGTTTGCTGCCATTATGTAAGTCCTGAGCCAAATCAGGAAGACTGTGGAATGTTAGTGCCAATTTTCATACTTCCAATAAATAGCCTGTGTTCTGTTTTTTTTTTTTTTCCATTCAACATATGTATATAGTTGTGGACAAGCAAACACACTAAATTTATAACTCAGGAATGTGAATTTTGTTGAAAAAACTGAGGTCAGATTTGAATCTGGATGATTGGAATAAGCCTGAAAATGGTCTTTTCATAATATTCCCATGAGGTTTTACATGCGCCAAATTTTTTGAGTAAATTTACACAACTTTCATAGGCTCAGGCTGAGCAGCCTGCCACCATCAGAACCCAAGCTCAACACCATCAAACACCCATGCTAGCATGTTGTTCTTGCTCTATGAACTTGGAAATGGACTCAAGTGAGTCAACAATACAGGGACCTTGATTCCTGAGACCATCAGCATAGACTCATCAACTGACAGTCCTACATCACACAATACCTCTCATTAGCCATTTCATTTCTGGAACTGTCAGTACTTTGGAGAACAATGATCTCTTGGCCATATTTGCTGTAGGTCAACTTCCAACCTCTGTGCATCTAATTAGGCCTGACATGGTTTATATTGACAGGATGTGCTATTTCATGGGATGGTGAATTCACCATGCACACTGAAGGACAACTATTTTCTTCAGTGATAGACTTTGTCCTCAACTGTGTTGGCTTCATGTATATTGGTGCCTGGGGCAGTCTAGTGGTGTTTGTAGCTGCTATTACATAATAGCAGGTGGCTATGCATATTCTTTGTATTAGGCTGAGGGCGTCTAGGGTAAGGGCAAGCACATTACGTGCGAGGGTAGATACATGATTAGGTATGTAGGTAGCAGTAATGTCCTTGCATGCAAAGAGAGAGAGATGCGAGCGATAGTGGGCGAAAGCCATGAGGCTTTCCATCCCAGCAGAAAAAAGGTCCAACCTGAAAGCAAAACTGAGATGAGCTGTGAGGGTGGGTGGGATAAACTCACCTGCACAGTGCGCATCTTGCTCTGGAGCGGAGGAGTCCTCCTGCATGGGAAGCAAGCAGGAGCTTGTGGGGCGAAAGCTGATGGAGTTTTCAGGGAGTGGAGGGTGGGGAAAAGGAAAGAGGCCAGTCAGACAACCTCAGTGGTAGCGGTGACTGTTGTGGTAGAAAGAGAGAAGGTGATTTCTACCCTGACTGTCACATGCCCTATACTAAGACCACACCCTGACTCTTCACTTGTTCCTCGCTGCGTTTCAGGGCAAAAATCTTTGTATTAGGCTGAGGGCGTCTAGGGTAAGGGCAAGCACATTACGTGCAAGGGTAGATACATGATTAGGTATGTAGGTAGCAGTAATGTCCTTGCATGCAAAGAGAGAGAGATGCGAGTAGCATAGTGAGCGATAGT